TTAGTGTTTCAGTAGTTTTTGGGATACAATTTGTTTCAATTGTTTATTGTCTGTTAAAAGTGTTTACTCCGAGTGATGGCATCCGAAATCATTAACTAATATAATAAGTTAATCATAAATCGTGTATAACTTAATATTAAATTTATTTTTTACAATTATCATAATGTTTACTATATTAAAAAAGCATTACCGGTAATAAAAATAATTTTTTTTTAAAACTACCGTAAAATACGCGCCTCTTATTTAAACAATATTTTTAAAATATCTTATTTAATACTTGTATTATATTTAAAAGTTTTTTTTAACATTATTATAACATTTTATTTAATTATATCAATAAAACGCGTAATTTGTTAACATATTTAGTGATGAAATTCATGACATAATGATTCAATGAGACATTTAACAAAACAACATACACTACACGTTTACATCAATTATTGATGTTTAAGGCGGAGCTAATGTTACAGACTAACTATTACATATAGATATATCAATTTGCATGTATATGTATGGTTAGCTTTAGAAATAATCTATGTTTATAGTATATGAACTTTATATTACTATAATAGATAGCTATTGGCATTTAAATGTAATTTTTTGATAAACATTTTGACAAAAACTTTGCTATTAATATAAAAATATATATTAATTATAAATTAATGAATCGGTTAGAGATATGACACAAATTAGTCAACAGTTATCTACCGATGATTGGGATCGAAGTGCTGCGGGACCGCCGCAAATGGCCAGACCTGTAGAGGGAAGACTCAAAGGCTATTCGTCGTTCACATTAGTCGACAATTACGGCCCACAAGCCTTCCTTTGGTTGTGGGAAGTGATAAAAATGAAGACAATGGACGGCCAACTGGGCTACTGGAGCTCAATTAGCAATGATGGTCGGGTCATAATTGTCCACTACGCCGATTCGGCTGATGTCAGACGCATTGAATGCAAACTAACTGAGCTCGGAGTTGCCGGTGTTAAAAGTAAGGCCAAAATATATGCAAAACACGGATCGCCAACAACAGTGGTCACACCTGTCATCAGACAGTGCTGTCAACACTGTACTTATAATAGATACGGATAACTGAGTTTTAGATTTTATTTTTTGAATCATTTTCATCATTATTTTAAATTCACATTTTTTTTAGTTTTTGTTTCTTAAAATTTTATCATTAATATAATTAAATATTTTATTATTATTATTGTTATTAAATTTTAAATTACTATATTCAATAAATTATATTTTAAATTATATATACAGTATTATACAGATAATAAATATCATGTTAGAAATAATTGATTGCCGTAATAACTTATTGACGATTGTAATATAATTGTTAATTACATTTTTTTAAATAATATTTTTTTTAATCAAAAATATTATTATTATTTAATAATAATTTTATCGTTAAATGAATAATAATAAAGATTTGATGAAAAACTAATTCGTTTGCGATTTTGTTTCAATTGTCGTAACTTTTTGTTTAAGTCATCCAAACTTTTTATCCAATCATTTCCTAAATTGATTTGACGATAGACTTTCATATTATCAAAATTAACGCCAAATTGTTTGCTATAATATCTATTTTTAAACCATTGATAGCGACTAATGATTACTGGATTAGTGTAGTGTTCGACAAAAAACACGACAACCGACATGAGCTGACCACTGATTAACATGAAATAAACACCTTTGAAATGTGTCAGGCTCAAATATTTAGCATTATGGTTGTGATCTTTGTGATCACCACTTTCATCAACATAACTGTCCCCATCCGGACTGTTCTCTTTTTTCTCATCTGTCGTATCTAACATTCCCTGTTGTATAGCATTGTTGTTCATAAACAATACCTCTTTTATCAGGTGCTCATAAATACCAGATTCCATAAACAAATTAATACTGCAATAGTTATAACATTTATAATAATTTAGTTCATAAAAGTATTATATTAATTATAAGTTAATAATTGAAAATAAATAATTAAAATATTTGACATACATTTGATTGATATTTTTCTTAAACTCTGTGCTAACAAATTTGGAAAACACGATAAAGTAAGGCATAGCCAAAATGTCATGTTTGGCCCGATACAGGTTCGGGTATTTATCCAATTTGGTTATGTAATAGTAGTCGAGAAAGGCGTCATCGCTAACCAGTGCATAGTCACCGGTAGATAGTTTGGGAAATACCTCCATTTCCCACTTTTCCTTTAAGTTTTCATCAATATCTTCGACTTTCATTTTTGGTTTCAATGCCTCACAGATAAAATCATTACAGTTATTGATATAATCTTCACACGACTCTCCTTGCATTGCGTAAAACTGTTGTAATCGACCGTCGGCTGAGAATTTGGCCAAATCGACCAACGAGTCTATCTTTGTGTGCGGTTTGGTGTGAAACATGGATGAAAGGAGTTCCTCATGAAAACTCCAGTAGCAAACAGTGGTTAGAAGTAACCAACAAATCAATAATATGGCGTAACTAATGGACAGTGGTCGAGGAGGTAATTTGTTTGACTGAACCATAATTATAGAGTATATGAACATCACTTGTTGTGACCAATTGTGTCGCATATATGAGGCAACAATGGCGTACATCAAAAATGATAGACCAATACATAGCCAAACAATTGGTTGAAAACTATAGATAAAACTAAATAATGGAATCTGTATCCAACCGCTGCCGGACAGTATGCTGATTGCCCGTATAGATCCCAGTGCCCGACTTCTATCGTAGAGCACATATGTTGAATTGGTCGGTGCTGTCGGATATAAATGTAGATCAATGTCACCCAACTCTATATGATTATAATATATCTCAGTCAGATCCGATTTAGGCTTGAAATAGGCTAAACTGCACGACATATATAAATTATTTAACACTTTTTTGTGGTATAACTTAAAATACAGTATTTAATTATTATTTTATACATAATTAATTACACTATAATATATTTTATTTACTCTATCAAGATTATTTACGTATTTACAGATTATAAATTAAAAGATATTTTTAAAAAATATTTAAATATACCTATATTTATATAATTTGGAAAATTCAATTAAAATAGCGACCATTGGACCGGACAATTCAATACAATCTGATTTATAATCCATATCAATAAATGGTGGCCAATATGTGGCCGAAAAATTTAAGTTCATTATTGGCACGAACTCACCAAAAATTATTGGCAATAGATGTGTAAAGTTATAGACAACCGATGACTTCATTGAATTTCATTATCACATTTTAATTAATTAATAACAAAATTTTATTCAATGATTTGTCGTTGTCTTACGTTGTCTATTGTGTTAGTAATAAATTTTTTATAATAACAAATTTTTTTATTTGTTTGTAAAATTTGTTTGTTTGGGTGTAAAATATTTTTCAATTCTGATAAATATTGATTTTTTATATATTAAATATAAACAGTGATATTGTTTATTTCAAACTTTGTTATTATTAAAATCTATTATAAATTGAGATAAAATATTGATACATTTAATTATATGTTATTATTAATTTATTATATCTTTAATATAATTCTATGATATTATTTGCAACATATAATATATGTCTAATAATTATTAGATATATGGTATAAATTATTTAAATTAACCAAAAATTAGCATAAATTACATTAAAGATTATAATATTAAATAATAAGAAAAATATTTTTGTTAATTTTCTGTGCAATAATTTTGTTAAAATGTAATAATCAATAATAATTTATTAACATTTTTCTATTAAAACATCTCCTATATGTTTATTATACAATATTACTTATATTGAATTCAAATATTTATTTATTTATTGATAATATTTTTTATATTTTAATATTTATTTAAGTTATTATTAAAGTTATAAAAATAAAACAAAAATCATGAAAACAATAATTTATATTTATATTAATTGTTATACAATGTCTTTTCCTGTTGTCGTCTAGTTTTATGAGTAATTTTGTCATTTTATGATATTTATACTATTATATTAAAAACTACAATCATTACAATTTATTAATTGCAAAGAAAACTTTTACTTAAATTTTTTTATCATAATATATGGTATTTACATATAAAATACTGAAAGTAAAAAATATATGACTATATTTAGGACACAAAAATATATGGACAACTCGTGACATCAGTCCATCAATGATAGCCATGAACTGAAAAAACCTTATTCAAGGATATATAAACACATTATTTAATAGTTTTTTATGTTATTATTAAATGATTTAATTGTCTCTCTAATAAAAAAGATATTATTGTTTACTAATTGTTTATTTACTAATATATTACTAAATGGTATATTAAAAAAATTATTTAAATTAAAATATTTGCTTTTTTAAAACATTTGATAAGTAGTAGATGAACTAAATATATATATATATATAAATATATATATATATATATATATATATATATATATATATATTAATTATATTTAATATTTTCATTTTAATAAAAATAAGTAAAATCATGTAATAAACAATTATGTAAATCTATAACTATTAATAATGACATAGTTTTTTTCATTATAAAAATTATTTAACAAATCCAATATCAAAGTATAGGCATATTGGGACACATTATGTCTGGCGCTTAGAGATGACGATATACTGTATTATGAGGTCAAGGCATATGAGGGTGCGATACATATAAAATAATTAAAAATATATATGAATATATTAACTTTGATTCACAGATGACAATTAAATAATAAATATATTTATAACAATAATGTCAATAGCAATAAATATATTACACTATTTACTTTTGTTTTCATTAGATAATAATATGTAAATAAATTATAAATCATAATTATTTTACAAAATTTAATATTAGTTTTTTTTAAAAAAAGTATATAAACGGTGACAAATATTTCAATCAGTTATCAGTTAGTTTTTCAAACTATTTAAACCAAATCTGAGTAATTATTTTAAAAAAAACATTTATATTAGAGTTAATTTTGATATAAAAATTTRTTAACTATGTTTAAGCCAAAAATTATTTCGCTATTAGTATGTATCTGTTTTGCACTATTGGTTCAATTTCATACCAGTGCCGGTAAAGAGTCAGAGAGCTCGACTGCATCGCCGACACCTCAATCGTTTTGTGGCTTCCGTAAGATTTTGAGGACACCGAAAATCATTAACGGAAAGGACGCCTATCACGGACAGTATCCGTGGGCCATATCGCTACGTCTTCATCGGCGTCACCATTGCGGAGGTGCCCTACTTGATCATCAATGGGTACTGACTGCAGCACACTGTGTCTCGCAAATCTCGCACAGGGCTTTCACAGTCAAACTTGGCGGTCACTATCGAAATAACGAACTGGACTCGACATCAATTGAAGTTCCCGTCAATAAGGTTATCCCACACGAAGGGTTTAGTTTCTCAAGTTTTGCAAACGATATAGCACTGGTCAGACTGGCCCGTACCGTTGACTTCGGCAACTATATATGGCCAGTATGTTTGCCGCAGACCAACGATGTTGACTATGCCAATCAAACTGGTGTTGTTATTGGTTGGGGCAAAATCAATACGTCTGGTACATCAGCCACACAACTACAACAAGTGGAACTGCCTATTATTGATAATCCTCAGTGCATCCGGTGGTATGAATCTCAAGGAAAACTCATTCCTATCAGGTCAGGGAGTTGTCTATTATTGAGAAATTATTTATTATGAATATTGTTTACTATTGTTCAAACAGATCCAGTCAGTTTTGTGCCGGACTAGAAGAGGGAGGTAAGGATGCCTGTCAAGGAGACTCGGGTTCACCAATGATGAAAGTCGACCCAAACAATGGCCAAGCAATAGCAATTGGTATTGTTAGCGCCGGCATTGGATGCGCACTGCCTAAACTGCCCGGACTTTACACAAGAGTTGCCTCCTATTTACCATGGCTTCAAAAAGTCATGTCCACTACACCGGTAGACAAACTGCCTCCACTATCAACTTCAACAACAACTACCAGTTCAACTACTGAGCCAAACAAAGTGCATTTACCACCAAACACACAGATTCATACCATTCCCAGTGGTAATGGATCTATTTTCGTGATAAGTCTACAAAATCTAACTCAACCTAGTCGTCCAACTGATACAYCAATTAAACCAATAACTTTGCAAACTGTTTCAAACACTACTAGCAATTGATAAAACTATCAATAATTTTCAATGTATATAAATTTATAATAATTATATGTTAAATATTTTATAATTACGGCTAATTAAATAATTGCTTGTCTATTAAATAAAGTAATCTTTTTTGTTGTTGACAAAACATATTTTGCATTTATTTGCAAACTAATTATTTACTAATTATGTAATTATGAATTTTAAAAATATTTATTTACAAATCATTGTTAACTATAACAAGTTTTTAAATAATAATCATTTCACTATAAAAAAATCATGCCATAATACTGTTTATCACAATTTATAAAAAGTAATTTTGAAACAAAAATGCTAATACTATTTCAATGACATACAAAAATTGAAATATCATTAAATAATTTAGTTTTTTAAACAATTGAATTTTTACATATTTTTACATTTAGTACATTAAAAAATTAGATAAAATACTATCACTATAATTTTGATATAAAATAAAGATAATTAAAAAGTATGTTAATAAAAATTAATAAAAAATTGCTATTTTGAATAGCTATTGGTATTTCATAGAAAAAACTTTAGTTTATGTTTATAATTCATTTTTTGGCTCCGGGACTACGGTAACGGTAGCTGCTGGTGAAGTTAGGGTTGGATTAGTTTGATCTCCAGTTACCTCACAAACCCATTTGCCATTATCTCTGTCAGGCAAAGCCTTAGCCACAACTAGACTACAGTCACCAATAGTTGATTGACGTAAACTATAGTCAATTGAAACTCGGGCCACATTAAGGCCAATATTACGGCCATCCTTAAGCCAAAGACAGTCACCAACTTTGTCGGAGACTTCGCATTCAATAACAAACGACTGTCCTTCGGAAACGGCCACACTTTGAGGTTCTTTAACAAATGTCTGGACACCTGTTGACTCTTCATTTGTTTGACTACCAGTGCTCTGATCACTAGCCACGGCAATCGTTAAGTTGGCCACAACATCGGTGATCCATTGTTTAAGCAAATGTTGATTAGCCTCTTCAGCCAACTTTCCGCCAGTACTGTTGAGTTGATTTGTATCAAACCAAACAGTTTGATTTGTCTGTCTGTTTACAGCACCCAAGTATGTATCACCTGAAGGTAAGCCATACAGTATCTGGAGCTGATCCACAATTAGATTGATTGATGGAAACATTTGTGGTTCAATCCATATAATCTCTATTGAGTCTAGATTTACAATTGATGAAACGGGTAACTCGACTATAGGTTCAGCTGATTGCTGTTTTTGTAGGGGAGTGTCGTTCAATGTCTGACTGACGGTGTTTTCGTTAGTAATATTTCTAATAGTTTTGGTAAACAGTTTATRAAAATAATGTCCCGCAGCCGATGACCGGTCGCTGATTGCAATTACTGTCGTCTTATCGGGTGTTTGAAGATTCGGGTCAAACACGTTATGTTCGGTTACATACTTGAGTGCAATGCCTTTGTTTTTCTCGATAAACATCTCGATGTCCACAGCTGTGGCCGGATTTATCGAGCAAATAACCGGTTGTTTCTCAAATGGTCGGATCAGATTTATCTGACCCACTGTTGTCAGCTTTAGATATTTAGCCACCTGTTTAATACAATTAAAATACTTTTAAATCTATTTAATCTATAAAAAATTGTTATATTGCAAACACTAACCAATCTATCGGTGACCAAATAAAATGGTATATCTGGACTGTATTTAGCAGCCACTGTCTCGTAAGCCATTAGATCAGGTGTGGCCGGCATAAAGAAGCCGACAATTTTGGGTGCGGCCACCAAATCGTATGCTATTTTGTCCATTTTTCCAGTAATTAGTCGCAAGTTGGATGTGCTCAGCTTCAGTACATAGGATAACAGTGCAGATGGACTCCGGCGGCCGTAATATACGTGTTGTTTGCCATTCAAATAGACCAAAACCGAGTCTTCAGCGATCCCTAAAGCAGTCGCTTTTTGACCACTAATTGTTAGCTCACATACCGTTATGTTACGACTGGCCAATAGTTGTGCCGACTGTGTGGCCAATGATGATGAATCGTCGGCGCATGACTTTCCAGTAGACGAACTTTTAGTGATCAAAACTAAACCATTGCCAGAATTTTTTGTCAATTGATCAGCCAATGTCTGTGCTGTCAGTTGACATGTCTGTCCCGATGTTGACAGTGTGTCCGTTGGTTTCGGCAAATTCAACAATTTTAACCATTCAGTTGTCTCATCAGTGTTTAAAGCACTGATAGTGTAACACATGAGACAAATGCTGATACAAATTGACAGCAAATATTTGATTAAATACTTCATTGTGAATAAAAATAAGTTAAAACTTTATTTAATAAAAAAGTATATTTTTTATAAATTATTAAATATATTCAATATATATATATAATACTTGCAACTAAATAATAAAATTTATTTTAAAAAATAGAAATATAAGAAATATTTAAAATAACTCGACACACATTTTATTAATAAATGAATGACTAAAAAAACTAATTGAAAATTATGTTTAAAATTGTTTTCCGTTTATATACAATATTATAACAAAATCAGACAACAACGACAACTACATTAGTAATTGCTATAATTATTATTATTTATACAAAGTGTCAATTATACTGTATATCAATAGTGAACTTTCAAAAAAATAAAATCAATTTATAGTTTATTTCCATAACTGAAACATTGAAATTTTTAATAAAGCAAACGTAAAATTTATTGATTGGTTAATAACRAATGTTTGATTAATTAATAATAATTATTAAATGATATTTACTATAATTAGAAATTAATTTATAGTTTATTGTTTTGATATTTACTCAAAATCTAACGTCATTTTTTCATTTATCTCTACATATAAGTCAAAGTCTTTATCAATGTTTTTACAAATTTTATATTTATTATATGAGTACTTGTAGTTTATATATTGTATTATTTGTTTTCCTATCAGGAATAGTAGGGAAAAATACTACAATAAATATATATTTATAGCATTTTTTTATCAGTTTAATCTACAGTATAGAATTGTTTTTTAAACAACCAAGATGATCAGTTTAGTTAATAATAGCTTAATTTTTGCAACAAAAATTTATAACAATTAAATAAAGTAACATAACTGTAAAAAATATTATAAATGGTTAAATAGAGTTAATAACAGTAACTAAAAGTGAAGTTAAAGTTTAAATAAGTTATTTGATGACTAAATTATTATACATTGCTAATTGTTGACTGATAAAAAAATCTAACTGTCAGTGATATTTACTAACGTATTGTTATTTAATTAAAAAAAATAATCTTATTTATCAATCATGCGATCATTTATACACTTAAATCAATTAGTCTTTTGACGCAAACGTTGTAATCAATTTATTTTATGCATGAAATTAATAAAAACATTTATTAGTCATTATGTCATTACTAATAACAGATATTTTTTTATTATGACAAATAATGAAAAATATACTGTAAAATGAAAAATAACAAATTGTTAAACTTTTATTTTCATACATAATGTAAAAAAAGCAATTGAATAAAAAAATTTAAGATAAAGAAAATTATAAAAAACTTAATAAAAAATAAAATGTCAAACATATAATAGTTAGTTAATAGGTAAATAAATATCCTGTTAATTATAAACAAACAAATTGTTTATATTGGAAGTTAATATTTGTGGTAAAAATTTATTATCAATTAATATAATTTTAGATCAATCTGTTGAGTCCGTCATCACTTTCTTGACCACATCAGCCGTTTTGTATGACTTGAACGGACACTTTGCAAATTTAGTTGAACACATGTGTCGATGAGATACCGATTCGTTTTCTTCGGCCATCAGTTCGTAGTCCATGAGCTGTGAAGCAGTGGTGTCTGTCCTAACCATTTGTTTGGTTAGTCCGCAAATGTACTTTTTGAAACAATCGTCGCTATCATTTTCCAACACATAGTCAAACATGCGTCGGACTACTATCGGCTCMGATATCTCATCATCCATATCCTCGGCGCGGTTTCCATCATAAATCACTTGGCTATTGACATCCCGTTTGCTGATACCACTACCCCCACCACCACTTCCACCAATAAATGTTCGCAATAGACCCGGGTTTTCGGCTGCAATGTCCAACAGCACCGGTAGTAGTTCGGGCTTATATTCGGTTATGTATCGCAGTAACGTTATTCCCCAAGTTGATCCAGTATTTCTATTGGCAGTCTCGGTAATGGTTTGTTGCTGTTGACCTATGACCACTGGCACATGTACTGGACTAATGACATGCCAGTGCCGTCTCAACAAAAATGTTTCATCGCTTAGATTAATRCAAATAATCAATAAAACGRCTGACAATAGAAATAAGCTGATCGAGTGATTCATTGTTGAATAAAAAAATATTAGTTAGAAATTAAGTCAAATAATTTAAAAATGAAAACTAATAAAATAAGATCTTTAGGTTAAAAATCAATGATCAACTAAATAGATGTAAAAATTTGTACATTTGCTAAGTCAGTCAATGGGTCAAACAATATACTGAAAGCACTCAATTGAGTGAAAGTAAACTTATGATAATAAGTGAAAGTGAATGTTGACAATGGGACAGGGAGGTTATGGGTTAAGCACTTTCACTAATTATGTGTAGTACTGTAGACATACGTATATTCATAAAACAGTGGTTTATTTTAGTAACTTTCTCTGATTGACCCTAAAAATAAATAATTGATTTATGGGTTYTAAATAAAGTGGCTTTTAATAGTAGTTACTATATAGACTATACTACATGTATATAGATATAGTAGTATAGTACATGTATAATCTTATTGTTAGTCTAATTTAAATTTAACTAATAAAATAAAATTTTCCTTAGAAATTTATTTAAATAAACATTAGTTKTATAAATTGTATTTTTCAATATGTGCAATAAATAAAAATAATTAATATATATTTTTAAATATAAAAAAGTAATTTAATATTAATAATTCAAAATTAATAGTGATATTTTGTTAAATTATAATATTAAAGGACCACTTGTATGCAAAAATTGTCGATACAATCAATACGTGATGATAATGATGTCTCGYCCAATGCCTATGAGATTTGATATATAATTTATATTGATTTTATAAGTTTGATTTCAAGTAAAACTTATATATATATAAATATATATTTATATACAGTATATTACAGTAATATAAATCTCAAGGTTTGCTTGTATTTTCACTTTTCAAAATCTTAGACAAAATGTACAAWAATTACTGTAAAGATAGTGTTATTTATTATATTAATGCAATTTACCAGTTAGCTTTCAAGTGTAACTAATTGTGACCTTAATTTTTAAAGTTCAATATCAAATAATTTATGATAATTATAATACTRTAGCTTATTATACTAATACTAATAATATCTTTTTAAATATTTTATAATTTTAAATTTTATTATTTAATATTACGGAATATAAAAACAACACACACGGCTATTATTAGTACATTAAACTATAATATCAATAAACTACTAATAAGAAAATAATATGTTTTTATGGGATATTGAGATCAGTGACCAAACATTTGTTGTGTGACCACTATATGTAACTCATTTAAAGGTTCAAAATACCGAAACATATATACAAATTCAAGTGATAGTCAACTCTTTCACTTTCAGTTCAATTGCATTTTTTGCTATCATCACAACTAAAACACATACCAAGTGATTATATGTGTAGTCATTGCACGGATAGAAAAAACATAGTGAGGTTCAGGTGTTTTTTGATTTAGAGGCACAGGGAGGCAAACATATGTTTGCGAAAGAGAGAGAGAGAGAGAGAGAGAGAGAGAGAGAGAGAGAGATGACCTTCATTACTGGCATATGTATAATGACCTGAACATCATATCATATCTTTTTTTCTCAGTATTTTTCTGGGCTCAGGTATGTTGACCGACGTCGTCGACCATTACTTAAAAATATTTTTCTTTCTCTTATTTAACATAATAAATATCACTTTTTAATGTATTAGCATTTATTTATTATTACAGTATTATTAGTACAGTAATTTTTGATTGCTTTTTTATTAATATAATGCTAATGTATTTTTTACATAAAATAATAAGTGAAAGCATTTACAGGTATAATGTACTTTAACTTAACATATGTTTTTGTTTATATTAAATTTTAAGAGATAGTTATTTTTATTTTGACTAATTGTTTAAAATGAAAACAATGCAAATATTAATGATATGAATTAGTTGTAGTAAATTTTAATATTATTATTTTTTGTTTACAATAATATTKATTTCACTAAAGTTTTTATAGCAAMTACAAAAAAATAATCTTTTGTTAACATTACATAATATATGTGCCAATAATAGGCATACAAAGACTACAGTATATACAGGTATATAAAAATTGGTTCAAATTATTTCWCTTTCATTTGGCTTTAGAAATATATATATATATATATATATATATATATATATAGTAATCACACCATTAATATATAACTAAACATAACTTTTATTATATATATATATATTATTTTATATTTTGCAGTCAAAGAGAACAAAAATTATAGCCATCACTACTACTACTACTACTACAATCTACTACCAGTGCAAAGCGGTTCATCAACTTTTTTTCCTACTGGTGCTTCAAACCAAGCACTTTATGATATGGTTTGGGCCGTAAATTCCTGTCCGACAAAACAAAAAACGCTTTTCAAAAAAAAAATTCTTACTCTTGAAAGAAGTCTTTCTCTTTTAAAAAGTTATGTTTTCTCTATTCAGTTGATTATTATTTCAATTTTCAAACTCCTCTCATAAAGTGTGAGAGAAAAAAATCATAAGTTATTGTGTGAAATGATTTTTCTCTGACTTATATTTTTTAGTGTTACACTATTACACAATTTTTATTTGGGAAAACCCATCCCTAGACTAGGGCTCTGGTAGTAGACAATCATACTGTTCACTCACTCACACACTAACTAACCTTTCTTTATGTTTGGTACTAATTTATCTATTATAAATTTAATGTGATTATTATTWTATATATTTATATTATAATTTTTTTAAAAAAATAAYAATAAATATTATTAGTTAAATATTAAAATTTCAAATAATTAGTTATAATGTAAATTTATTAATAATTAAGTTGATAATAATTTTTTAATAATATTTATAGTGATATTTATAAAAATTAATGTATTTTATGTGCTATTATGTGTTATTTAATAAAAAATAATTTATGACAAATAAATTAATATAATAATTATTTAATTAATTTAAATTAAACACAAATATATTTATTATATTAAGTGTCTTACAWTTGATTTGACATTTGATTGTATTATATC